GAGGTGATGAAACCTTACACTTTTAAACTGATTGCATTTATCTCAGTAGATAATCTTAGAAAATAATTCACCTAGAGCTAAATGATCTGATTCAAGAAGATGTTCACTAGCGTACTATTGTTGCCTATGATCATCGTAATGTTCAGTCACACGTTTCCGAAGAACTTACAACACACTACATAATCATATCCTTAGTAGCGTATTTTTATTTATTTTATTTAATTATTTTGATTACAGCTTGATGCCACACCGTATTTTCAGTACAAGTATGGAATTTTCAGCATGGATATCGGTAGCCCAAATTTCGCAAGCCGACCATAGATATCGGGTGTGCGTCGGCAGGGGATCGAACCCCGGACCATGTGCATGGTTGGCGAGAGTCCTAACCACTGTGCCACCGACGCACAGGAGGACTACATGCCCATTAAGCACAATATTAATGTTAATTCTTTCTTCACGCATCACATAATCATACCCTAGCTTGAATGAACCAAGTGTATGTCAGGGGTATAAAATATGCATTTGATGCATTTGGATGGACGAGTTTTGCATGCATCAATAGTGAATGTCAGAATCATAATAAGCGCCTTCTTCAGCAATCAGATTTGGAGAGGAGGGATTTGTTTCATAATTTTTTGTATCAACAAATTATCTATGGCATATGTTATTTGAGCATCATACTATGGTCTTCAAGTTTCATATCAACTTTATCATTACAGCAGATTTTCCAGCTCTTTGAGGATGGATAATGGATGAGATATAAGTTCCTACCTAAGGGCTCTCCAACTGCTGAAATTACTGTACTGTCATGCACACGTTGGTTCAGAGTGGTTCATTCATTGCAATGAATCCTTATCTCTCCTTTCTAACATAACATCTGAGCAATGAAATTTGAAATTTAACCGCTCTTTACTTGTGAAACAATATGAACTGTTTCAGGAGTTCAAAAGACGAAAAGTATTTATCACAAACAATAAAATTATCGTCTATACATCTTGTAAACAAACGAAGACTGGTTTTAACCCTTTTTCAATAAATGTTTTTGATAAAACATTTTTGAATACATGGTTCGGGGTTTTCGTTTATGTATGCCTAGTGAAATATAGGTGATGGAAAAGTATTCATATAGGGTTTAAATAATGGTACACCTGAATTTTTTTCAAAAATCTTTTTGTTACAACGATGGCTTCCCTTTGGCTTTGATAATCTTCACTTTGTTTCCCTTTTCTTTATTATCATTGCTATATATTTCAGCTTTGACATCACTTGTCACAGTTTAAACCTTTTAATATCAATTCACTTCTTTAGTTATCCTCTGTAACTATGTAAATCATCCATTTTCACCCTCTTCGCCTAAAAAATCATGTTAATTTTTGTATCATCTATGAATGGACTGATCAGAGTAGTCTTGGGCATTCACTAATATTCATGAAAAAATGGATAAATTCAGTCACTGAGTCGTGTATTAGAGATCAACAAGTGAATGAAATGCGGATGACTTAATAGACAACTTCAGAAAAATTAGATTAGAAACAACACTCGCAGTAATATTTCTACCGATCCCTGGTGACCGACTATCGCCATGATTACATTGTTTAAATAGCCAATGGTGTTTGTTTCTATTTATTGTATTGCATATTCACAATGCGAATAATTCTATCGACTACGCATTTCTTATTTTTATCCCCTGCTGAAATCGTATGAATCTGGTGAGATTTGAGACGTAAAAACCGTTTGAAGAAGTTCAAATACTTTGACCTCTCAGAATTTACACGCTTCTCCAGTGTAATGTGGTCGTTATCTCTTCCAACACTTCACAATGCTAGGTCAGTCACACTTAATGAGAAACTTTACTATGACATCGAGCAAGTTCCACTGTTTTATCAATCACACTGGAAGTGTGGGGTCTGTAATATCCAAAACAGTTTACTATCACATTGTTAGGATGTAACTCTAAAGCCTACTAGTAGTTTAGCTGCATGTATCACTTGTCATAAGCCAACAGTTATTGGTATCATTGACACTTCTTTGAAATCAGACACTAGTAGGTCGTCTTGTAAATATGCATTTCTTATCCCAAATTGTCGAATGTTCAAATATTGCTTTGCACTCACTCATTGAAACAGTCCCTGTTGACAGAACTGATTGTACACTGTTCATAGTGTGATGATCCCGTTATTCTGAGTCACCAACAACCTAATAACTTGACTTCCCTACTGAAGAAAGCATGTATATTCAACATTTGCCACCTTGCTTTATCTATATGTTCATCCATTTAACGATGAAGTCGGAAGCTAGGTGTTGAACACTAAAAGACTGTTCACTATTTGTGTACTGTGAACACAGAAAGGGGTTCATTACTCGAACAAATGCTTACCCTTTTCAAATTGTGAAGAAGTTAGTGACAAAGGTAGCTGAATTCAGGCCTTAGATGATGGCAAGTAGGAACTACAAACAACTAAACAAAATAAGCATTTGCTTGAATTATCTGCTGCAGGGCTAATAAAGTCTACTTCGCATCCAAAAGGTGAATGTAACAAACTTGTTTATAATTTGAAGTGTTCTGAAAGTCACTACTTTAGTGGTGGTAAAGTTTCTGTCGTTGAATAAAATTTGCAAACCGTACGAACCTTTCCGGAAAAAATCCAAAAAGTAGGTAAAATCTCCTGATAAGCGAACTGGCTTATATCTAACTTCGTCACCTAGACCCTGAAGTTCCCTTCGTTCACTGGAGACGCATGAATTCAGTGAAAATGATTCCAGTTGGTAGTTTCAATTATAATCTTGATGATTCCATAACTAGCCGTAATTTCTTTGGATAGTTTGATACGAATACTGATGATTTCATCGAAAATTTGAAACTCAAATGAGTTAAGAGATGTGCGAGTCTTGTAAGCAAACTCCGAGTACACTTCTAGGAAACCTCGTGACAAGTAGCGGATGCGGTGGCTGGTAATTTGGATTGATGTTTTATTTCGATATCAACTGTCGTTTGTTTCTATTCATACTATTGTGCAAACATAATACAAATAATTCTATCATTATGAGTTTCTGCTTCCTATCCTCTTGGCGCTCTCCTCTCGTTTCCTGATATTCAGACACTCCGGATTAAAATTAGAAGTAAGTGTTAGATGTTCACGTTCCACCGTCTTTTCTACACTATTAGACTCATTCACGTTGCACTGGTATATGTAGTAGCTCTGAGTGTGCTTATTTCAAAAACCTTTTTAGCCGTCATTGTGTATATATCTATCTTTCGGTCTAGTTTAATGACGGTCTTCTTATGTCAATCCAAGGCAAGGCAGAAACTTCATTGTTAGATCACCTGTGTTCCAGGAAACCTCTGCACTGTGTACAGCCTTTGAGTATCACAGCTTCCGTCCTCCCGATAAACATAAGAATTCTGCTAATAGGAGGGAGATAATGTTCAGGGTCGTGTACGAGATATAAATGTGTCTGATTCTGTAAACCTATCATAAAATAAGTTTCATGATTTAAGAAATTTAAACATAAAATATTCTCGAATTATATTTTATCGGTAGGGTTGTTTGGAGATTTACCAAAATTTGTGTGCGAAAAAGATGGCTGTCAGACATTCCACTTCACTTGAATAATCGGAATATGTGTGATGTGGCCATTCAGTATCACAGTGAGGGCGGATTTTGTGAACAATGGAAAGTCATCCACTTCTATTTCCGAATGGAGTGGTATAATGGTTAAAAACGTCAAAGTGAACGATAAAAGGAATCATGACACACATCAAATGCAGTCATCTACTGCCAGCATTAAGTTTTGGTTACAGTGGTGTTTATTTTTACTAGTTTCTAGCCTCATGCCCAACCTTACTTCCTTAGCTGTCTTGCCACTGGCTTAGCGAGGTAGGGGAGGGCATCGGCCAAGGATCTAACGCCGAACGACATGCGTCGTTGGCGAGCACTCTACCACTGCGCCACCAAAGCACAGCTATTTTACTAGACGGTACGAATAGGGACTTTTTATCTCCAAGGCTACCTAATAATGTGGCTACCTACTCTTTTTGAATATTAGGGTTTTGAAGTCAGTTTTACAAAACATTTGTCATAAAAATGCCTGTATGAGCACAAGCAAGACTTACCGACATCAAATACTTTGAAATCCAAGTCTTTAAAACGGAAGTTCGTTTCCACTATTCCTGTCGTCTTAACTCTTGATCTCAAGACATCCTGCTCAGTTGGTAAGTAATCGGGAGCTGACATTCTATCTAAGGAATCGAGGTAATAACCAGCTGAATCATTAAGTTGATATTCCTTAGAGCGTGTGAAGCATTTCTGCACACTTGCGTTAGTCCAAAGTGACCGTAGGAGCTTTGATAAGTCGTCGGGAAAATCTCCCTCCTCGACTGTGGCTAGGTATCCATTCAAATGTTTTAATTCTTCCGCAGGGTCAAAGTCTTCAGCCGTTATATCCAGCGACTCCATAGCTTTTAAAATTTTGATCATAGACTGGACAGTATTGGCAAAAATTATAGGTTTATATTCTTTCCTTTCATCTTCCTTGTAACCCTCACCATGAATTATTTTCATCTGCTTTAAGACCGTTGATTTTCCACATTCACCCGCCCCAAGAAGTAGAAGTTTGACTTCTTTCATGGACTTTTCTGCATCCTGACGTATTTGCTTCTCTATAGCCTTGCTCTTATCTTGCTGAACTTTTTCCGGTTCACTCCATGCGCATCCCATAACTGAATGTTAATATGTTGAGCAAAAATCAAATGCAAATATCGATAATCCACTTATTGTGATAAAGGATCAGATGCTATCGAGGGAACTTGTTAAGCTCTTAATATATATATGGTTTCTCATAGTTGCAACTGTATCCACCAATTACACACCTTTTAATCTTCGTTATACAGTTCCCACCCATAATATACAAGAAGCCATAGAAGGCTGTATTAAAACTTATGTGATTAAAATATATATTCGGCAAACCAATAAATGTCATGAAAGAAGAATTTTGAAACAATGTACTTTTGTTTTAAAATATCAGTCGTCACAGCACATTTTCGAAAGTTTGCGCCAAGAGCATGGCTGAGCAGGTTTGACTGTAGCTTTTCCGTTTAACATATTTTTTAGAGAGAAAACGCCTTTCAAAAACAAGAGGTAAAGGGAAGAAAGGGTGGCAGGTATTACAAAAGCATTGGGCTTGGATATAAGACCCCCAAAGATGCCATATTCGGAAGCTACATCGACAAGAAGTGCCCTTTCACTGGCAATGTACGTATCCGCGGTAGAATTCTCACAGGAATTGTCCGCAAAATGAAGATGAACCGCACAATTGTTATTAGACGTGACTACTTAAAGTATGTCAAAAAGTACAACCGGTATGAGAAACGTCACAAGAATATGTCAGTGCACCTCTCCCCATGTTTCAGGTAAGTGAGGTATTAATAATAGGCCTATCCTTTAGGGACGTCAATGTAGGAGACATTGTGACAGTCGGTGAATGCAGACCGTTGAGTAAGACGGTTTCGTTCAATGTAATCAAAGTGTCAAAGGCTGCCGGATCTAAATACAAAAAGTCGTTTAATAAGTTTTAATGTCATAAATAAACGTGTGGCTCCGTATACATCGTTATTAAAACCTCATTTGTTTGCTGGTTGTTGACACAGTGTTCATGCGTATACGGTCAGAATGCCTAAGCTATACAACTAGGTGTTTAGTTATACAAGTGTTTGAATATCATGTGGTTACTCTCAAGCTGTCTAGTTGTTTTCTTCACCTTGTGTATCGCCAGACAATTGATCGTTGTGTTGCAGCTGCGGTCTCTTGTTGACTCCAGTATTTTAGAAGACATTTATAACATTCAGTGAAATATTACTAGTAATACTTCGATTTTCTTGACAGGACATGAGTAGCCCTACGATCCTGTTCATCGAGTACCCTCCTATGAAAGTCTCATTACGAATGTTTTGTCTCATACAATATTTGTTTGTACGAAAAATCGGGGATTGTTGTTTCCGGCATGGACTACTGCTTATGGCTATTTCCTGTATAGCAAAATATTTCGAATTGCCATAACCAGATATATACCAAATACTTGTAGACGCAAATTTTGTGACTTATGCGTATTAAAGGTTGTATACTATAACAGGGGTCAAAGCGGACCGTCATATTGTTATTACCCTGGTTAGTAGAGACCAATGAAAAGTCAAGTGCATGATTGCTGGTACGAGTGTTATTTACCTTATGCATGGTATTGTTCAGAGATTCGTCAGATAGCTTTCTGGCACACTGTGATGTCTCCCTATATATGTACTCACTGCCCTACTTATCAATGCCTTTTCATTTGTAATTCATAAGTTATACTCGACCACTAAAATGTTTCAAAGTAGTGAAGTCCTTGGGTATCTTCCAAATATCTAGCTTGCATACTGCAGTGTATGACTGAGAAGCCCGACATCAGTGCTACGTGCCATCTGTGAAATTATTTTGCAGTGTAACAATGGGTGGCCTGTCATTGTCTAGACTTACGAACGGGCGCATTGGTAAGGCTTTATGTGTTCCATGCCAGTTAACTATTAAATGTTCATTCCCCCCTTTGGAATGCTTGGATTTTAAGCGATGATTGCAAGTTTATGACCACGCTCTCTTTATCTCCAACAAGATAGTCTATCAACGCCGAGTGTACATCTGCAGCCGTGGGTAAATGCCTAGAAATTGTATTGGTAACAGTATTTTGATTATGGTGTGTGTGTTACTGAGTTACTACGTACTTAACAAAGACCGTGTATCACTGCATGATTGTCTGGCAATCCACCTGGTAGTCTATAGCCGTAACCACTGGTAGTCCCCTGGGGAAGCAAATGAATTGGAGTGTACTCGAGTCCTTGCATCCGTGTGATGTGACGAGGTGGTCCGTGATGATTTAGTAGCTTGGGTGGTCGTACACATTCTTAAGCGTGGGTGGGTCATCCAGTGGTTGGCCGCAGCTAAATTTAAAATAATGTAATTCCCGCGATGTCTCTTCACATGATTTATTACGGGAGTCCATAACCTCTTATGTCACTTCAGCAAACTCTTGAGTTGTATTGATTCCTTGGTGCTATGTATGCCTCATGCGAATTAGTGTGCTGGACAGTCGCTATTTAAACGAGGCTTCTCATTTTGCTTTCTATGTACCTCGTTTCAACCATGAGGAATTCTCCTTGGGGTTAAAGATAAGAAGAACGATGGTGTTTTGGATCGATTTGAATAGTTTCCTTAACCAATTCTCGGTGCTTATCAGTTAATAGTGCTACCCTGTCTGTGTGTCATGCAACGTCGGACAAAATGTTGTCATTTTGGTATATGTGTATCTGTCATAGCGCAGTGCGATCATATTCTAAGCGCTCAAAGAACTAGATTGAAAACTGAACAAACGGTCGCTACCACCTAAAGGGGTTTGGATGTGGACGTTTCCTGCTAGTCACGTAATCCAGTTGTGTTGGATTTTCATCACGTCCTGACCTATTCTCTTCTTGCCCTGCTGAGGTTACTTAACATATTTTCCTATGGAGATTTACTTGAGCGAACCCCGACTTCAGGTTAACGGATGATTTCATCATAGCCCAGGTACACTACCTTCATGATTGTATAGAGCAGTTTCCGGTTGTATTCTTCTCTGCATGCAGGTGGTCGACTGATGCCACCCAGTAGGTACTTGATGTGAGCGACTCTGAAGTAGCATAATATCGAGTCTAGGAGTACAATGAGCGGCTGGTCAGCAAGTCGAATGCATCTCAAGGGTTTCTTAACGTATATAGAAACTTTGTCATCTTCATTATAATCACTGTTTTGCATGAATAGAAGCATATCCCCTAAACCGACTTCGCTGTCAGCAACAATTAGGTCACTGATGTTTCAGTCAGTATTACTAGTTTGAAATTGAGGTAGAAGTGTAGGTTCCTGATTTCAGATAGTTTACCCCCTCAGCTCTATTACGTTACTATACATCGGAACAGTACTGTAGAGAGAGTTGGTAATCATAGCCAAATTTTTCCTTTCACAATTATATTTCTTTAACGATTAAGTCGTTTATGCGATTCACTTCCAGAAGATATCACTCTCTTGTTAGGTGGAAGGAGGTAGCTGGAAAACAACCATTTACTTGGGCTTCTTGCCACTTGTCAACAAGGAACTGATACCTCATCGAGAATTTCACTCCTAACTTGTTGCTAATGTGTGTTGACAAGGACGAAGCGTAGGTGCAGCCGATTGACTGAAAGTGCAAGGCGGTGATGAGTTGACTAGCTAGCTGAATACAAGAAAACGTACTGATGCAATCCGTTGCAAATTAGAGGACGGACACGTTATACTATAATTGAACAATAAGTGTATCAAATACACTCCGTGAGTAGATGGAATTTTTGAGGACAAATAGCACGATGGAGTAGAGTTGAGTGCAGCGCCGTAAGACGCGCATTCCACTTGCTGAGTGGACTTCATTTCCTACCCGTTTGCAGATTATTCATGCTGGCATGTGCCAACAAGCACGGAAACTAGGCTCCCTCCAACTACCCAACATGAATTCAAAGTTCATCACCATGGCGAGTCGCCCAGTCCAGTGACCACATTTTACACTGACAGAATCCCGTTAGCATCAACAGGAAGGGACACAGACATAACATTGGTTATACCCTGGTGAATAATCAGTTTATCGCAGCTTTGACGTTTGCCTAAGTGTCTCTTCGAACATAATACACTAGTTCATGCTAATGAAGTAGGATGGTAACTCGTCACGTTGTATGTTTAAACCTTTGACTCTGCTTGTTAAGCGTAAAATGCTATGGAAGCCAGATTCATTTCACTCAGTCATTGCATTCTCCTGCTTTAATTGTAAAGCCTAATTGACTTGTCTGATGCACTAAATTACATTTTGGTGATTCAAGTACATTTTGTAGGATCTGGAAATATGTTGGCAACGCGGTGAATAGCTACTCATTCGACTTCATTATTTTTTCAAAAAACGGATATGTTATGCATTAGCGCCATGTAATAGTATCTGATTGTCAGGTCCCGCTTCGCTTGAAGCTTCTAATTTCACAACTGCACTGCAGTGGGAAGCCGTCACTTCTAGTACTGATAAAATCGACACCATCATCCTTATCCCCTATTCAGGAACAAACCTTGTAGTTACTCATAGTACATTTCGTCTTGGTGTGCATGTTAAACACTGTTCGACGATTATTTGAGAATGCGCTCTAATTAGTTGCCCGTCTGTCTAGCCCTATTTGTTGTTCCAAATTTGACGGACGGGTATTTAGATGGTCATTAAGGCATTTTGTGGCGTTATTCGCTACTAGGTGCTTACAGGACACACTGCACTCGACGAAGGTTTTTAACGCCCCTCGACATCCACATAAGCAAAAAGTATCAACAAAATTTAGCGGAATTCATCTCTCATACATACTGGCAGTTGGAGACGCTACCACATATCTAATCAGAAAACAACTCATCTGCCACATGGCAACCAACATAGGTTAATAGTCCCAAATATTCTGACTGAATCGTTTCGATCGAGCCCACATCAACAAGAGTTTAGAACTCAGTATGTTGCAAGTGGCAAATCCCATCCCACCTACTTCGGCCTGAGCAGATGTGTGGTATTATTGGCTATCACATGACAAGTGTGGCTTTTAGCCTAGTTTAGGAAAGATCTGTGCAAGCAAACAGTCACATATTCTTCATGCAGTTTCCTGCTGTCAACTAGTGCATATAAAAATCCATACCTCATGTATCTGGTGAGAATAGAAGAACAAATTACTCGTGGATTACTGCACTAGTAATCTGAAGGGGACTGTCCCGAATGCTGCGAGCGAGTCTCGCATTACACCTTCAATCATCACTCATTATGTTGACAGGAGTCTGTCAACCCAAGATTATTCTAGTTGAGTCTGCGTTCTATCTCCCGCGTGAAGTGGTATGATAAGGTGAGCAATATTGAAGTTAGGCGTCGAGTGCTAGGTAAGGCGGGGAAATCAATAGACGAGACTGTGAAATTACATCGACTGAGATGGTTAGGACATGTGTTACGTATGCCTAGTCATCGCCTTCCTCGACGGGAAATGTTAGCTGATATAGGGCCAGGCTGAAAAAGAGCTAGCGGCGGTCAAACGAAAACATGGTACCAGTCAATGAAATCTACAACAGTTTGTTTAAGCCACGTAGGAAGGTGTAGACTAGCCTCCTGGTTGGGGTCCTCGGGACGGCAAAAACCAATGGTTGGAAACAATTGGTGATATGGCTCAAAATCGTTCTCAGTGGCGCAGATGCATCCACTCCTTGTGACTCATGATTTCCAATGAAACTGTTTTGTTCTTCGTTATTACTATTCCTTTGTCTCACACTTCTGTTTACTGTCTATATTATGCATTTCTCTACTTTTTCTCTTGCTTTGTGTACTACATGGAGTGTGGCGACTTGAACTGCCGCACATATGTGCAAAGTTCTATGTCGAAAACCGACCGACCGACCTATTCTAGTTGAGTCTAAAAACTTCTCAAAATAAATTATCCCAAATATGATATTGTGAAAAACCTTATGACACACATGTATGTAGGAGTATTTGTTTATCGAATCCGAATCAGATCAAATCACGTTCACATATACAGCTGATTTCATGGCACATGATAAAATCGACATTTTCTAGAATACTGCCCAAACAATGTGACGAAACTCGTGTATAATTGAGTTTATCTTTCCAATATACAATCTCAACAATGAGTAATTGATTTCGTAGGCATTTTTCAAAGTGAAACACGCACACTGTATGTGTTGTAAGCGTCTCCTCTAACACTTACATCTCTATGAAAGAAAAATCTCCGTATCAGAGTTTATATTAAGTCGTTTTAGGGGCATAAACTGATTACTCTTCAAACAAGTCTCAGCAAACCAAGTAGTATGTTATACCAATGATATCCTTCACTTCTTACTATCCTACTACAGAAACTAACGCGCCTCACGTTACTTACACACGCATACAAATCCTACCAAAGCAAATTGATTCAAGTATGTTTTTAACTAATTATCCCCCCCCCCCCCAATTTACTGCATACAGCCTAATCTACTACTAATCACACCCTTAAATTGTGACGTATAACTAACTAGTTTTTAGCTGAACAACTGCTAAGCACTGCTGGAGGATACGAAGAACATCGTGGGAGATTTGAAAGTGTCGATGAATATTTTGTCGAACGACATACTATCTGTCGAGTATTCTCCCTTTTTTTAAAAAAAAAAAACAGGTAAAAACTCTTCTGTAGATGTAGCTAATATTATTATAAGTATTATAATTAATATTATTATACGATGAAAGAAATTACTACCAATTATACACATGTGTAAAAAAAATTATATGACTGACTGATTTGTCGATATTAAAATTTTTTTAAGAAAACAAACAAGTCTGTTGATCTGTTTTATGAAAGACTGTGGTGAAGAAAAGAAAATAATGAAAATACTTTTTTTCTTTCTTTTTGTACAAAAAGGGGAGTGCAACACTTGCTACTTATAATATATATATATATATATTCAGCAATTAGATTCACTACTGCCAGCCTCTGAAGTTCTCATAATCACTTTAGCCAACCGCCAAACTGTTGACAACGGACTTGAATGATGCAGTGAATCAAATGATGACGTAACACTATCGGATGTAGTGGTAGTAGTAGTAGTAGTAGGATTAGTGGTAGCAGGAGGAGGAGGATGAGTAGCACTCATTGCATCAATAGCTTCAGAATTCAATGGTGGTGGTGGTGGTGTTAAAGACACCAGCTCCCAGCATTCTAAACTAACAGGTGATTTATAGTCTTCACAATGTCCACCACTCATTATTGATGAGTGAATACAACATTCAGAAGTAGTAGGTGTTGAATTGATTGTATGCGGGTTATCAGATTTTTCATTGAATACAGGTGAATCATTACTTGATAAACCGAACATTTCATCGACTTCTTCACCTTTCTCAATTGAATTATGAAAACAACATGAATTGAATGGAATTCTAACTGAATGATTGAAATGACTGAATGATGGAATTGTTCCAAATAGTCCATTAAGTTTTATAGTATAACATTCATCAAAGTATCTAAAGAAATAACAAATTTAAAACAATTAGTTCCCTTCATAAAATTTAGATAAAGCAATAAGAAGACGTAATTTGTCTGAATCGTGTAATGTTGTATTTGCGGAACACATTTCGAACAATCTGATCACACTCCACGGACTCGTCATAGGAATATATATGAAATTAATAGAGTTAAGAGTTGAGAAAATAGACACAGGTCGACTTAAAAGGACATTGAAGGTCAAAATAACAATGAAGACCACTAAACCAAATAGCAGAGGTAATAGTACATCTGCTCTGGTATCAAAACAAAATTTACCAAGGAAGGTTTAATGTGATGACGAATTTTTTTTGAACGCATAAAGGTGGTTAAAACTTTCTAATTGCTAGCTAGGGCTTCCACAAACTTTAGAAACGCCCCAAACACGTTTTATAGATAGGTTTAAAAGATGTGTTAACGTCAATTTTATGTCCTGTCTTTATAATATGCTTCGCAATAGAGGAGCTAGGTCTCCTGTTCTCACCATTAATGGGTTCTGAAGATTCTATTTGTTTCTGGAGCCATTTAAGAATATGCTCTGAAGCCCTTACTTGCAGAGATCGATGAGTCCTCCCTCCTATGTATGTGTGTCCACACGTACATTCAAATTGGTAAATACAGTGGGATGTGACATCATTTTTCGCATGTTCAAAGGGCTTAGATGGATATATTGGCTTCACATTCTCAATTATTATGATATTAGCTGCATAAAAAGTCTTTTAAACCGCAGCGTTCAATTTATGTCTAGTTGTCAAGCTGCTATGATCACCCAAATAGGGTAGAGTTCAAAAACAATTCATAATCACACTAAACCTTCCTTGGTAAATTTTGTTTTGATACCAGCTACGGTAGATGTACTATTACCTCTGTTATTTGGTCTAGTGGTCTTTATTGTTATTTTGACCTTCAATATGTCCTTTTAACTTGACCTAAGTATATTTCTATTTCTCACCTCGTAACTCTTTATTAATTTCATATATATACAATCCAATGACAAGTCCGTGTGTGATCAGATTGTTCGAAATGTGTTGCGCAAATACAACATTACACGATTCAGACAAATTACGTCTTCTTATTGCTTCATCTAAATAACAAATAATAATAATATAATATAGTCTACCACAAAGGGAGACGAGTGCAACTGAAATGAATACCTTCTGCTACGGTAGGTTGAATTCTCAGATGGTGCGGATAACAATTACGTCGTTTATTCTATACAGCTCATTAAAATTAGCATATTATAATGAGCAAGTGGAAATATTATGTAGGATAGTTTACCAATAATCGTAAGGACTAAATACATCTAAGTTAGTATGTACCACTTTGAGCAGTGTGACTCCGGGGAGGGGGGACTCAAAAGGTCAGCTTTTATCATCCTGAGGATATTGGATACAACTTATATCCTTTGATTGGACTCTAGGCAATAAGTAACTAGTGTTATGTGTCTAGTTCTTTGTTTGGTACACAGATTGACTAGACAAACGCATGAGACACTAGTTACTACTTAGCATCCTATCAAAATCCTACAACCTGAATAGCTCATTGGTAACATCTATGACTCCAGCACTGAGTGAAACGCGTTCGAATCTCAGAAGGGATGTGAGTTTCTTCAAGATTACATCTTGCGTCTATCCGTCTAATCCACCTTCCTGGTACAATTGGTGTTCTTGCTTTGTTCAAGTTTATTAATCCACCTTCGTCAAATGCGATGCAATAAAACAGATGGATTCTTGAAACCAAGAGTTTTTACTGAACATTGATAGAGGAACTTCCTTTACTAGCACCTAGATCAATAATCCGTGACCTTACGGGGTTTTTGTTTTTAAGCTCAATTCTATTTCCACTGACATCACTTATCGAAGAAAGTGGTAGCTTTGAATGCGTGATACAACTCCCAGCTCCCCAAGTCAATGGAGATTTACAATTCATTAAATCAATCACAGATTGTAGAATTCAATAGCTTGTAGGATATAATAGAGATTATCGAAATCTTCTGAATAACAATAAGTTTATACAGGTTAAGTCCATTTGTAAAACTTCACTTAACATCCTAAGCAAAAACTACTAAATTTATCATACTAAATTGTAGGAAGACAACTTTTAAACAAAAAAGATCAGCTAACACACACACATTCAATGGTCGTGTCTTCAACAAGAAATTACCCAATAAGGAGAAGGAAGATGATTAACTGATTTAAGTACATAGAGTAAACACAAAAAGAAATCCTTCAATAGGATCGTTTCGAGTGACTGTAAAGTATCACTCTTTGAAGTGAAGAAATTAAAAGTCATATCAACTCCAACTCAAGAATGAAGTTATGTAGGTATCTTCCTTGGAATTTATTCAACAAAATATCTTGAGTATGTTTCTATTCAAGACAATTAAAAACTTCAGTGAAGAGAACTCTGTGCAGCTCTAGTGTATGCCAGTTCATACTTCTTTTCTCCTGGACAAACACTCTAACAAATATTATGTAGTAAGAAATACTGTTCGATACATGAATACATCAATAGTAGAATGCTCGCCAACTACCCATGTGACCGAGGTCCAATTCCCGACCGACACACTCCTAAAGTTCACCTAGTCATTCATAAGAGGGAAGGTTGGATGTTAGGTTAGCGACCCACCCACCCCTTAAAACAAACATCGCCACAGTTATAGAAACTTCAAAGCTCACGCTTGAGACTCTATGTTCCACACACGAAAAGCAAAGGAATGAAACAAAGTACTGTTGAGGTATACCATCATAGCAGTAGGGTATAATGACTTATTAAATCAATAAATAGAGCGCTTCGTCGCTTATAAAATACTGCACTGTATTCAACAGAAAGTGTAACCAATACAGCATTTATGTATTATTGTTAACTTTATTAAAACAGACTGCATACATTACAGGCACAAAGAGATGCGTCACACAAAACTGTCTCATAGTTTGTGCGAGGGCTGAAATACTGCTCGGATTTCTAGACTGAAGCAGGCGATTGTATTAAGACGCCACTCTAGAGTCTTTCACTTGAAGTCTGATACACAAAACAGTGGAGCAGCGTTTCCATGGTCGCTGGTGATCAAAAAAGGTTCACATACCATTCGATCCTTTCGGATTCTCGAAATCAGGTAAACACCATAGGTTTGGAATCAGGGTTTTCCATCTCCTGCAGATAGATTAATACGTCCACCAGTTGGGTTATAAGCGTCACACGTTCACATTCGCCTTTTCTACTTTGTTAGGAACACCCATCACGCCGAGTGAAGGTGGCGAATAAGATACGCTACCCAGCAGAGGCCACATGAATGCGTTTCCAGAAAAAGACCGAAGTCTTCCCACCCTCGACCATAACCAGGTCATTTATGGAGGCCACAGGTTTTATGTAGTAAGCAGTGACCATTGTGCATATTATCCTCGTCAACAGTCATGACGTGCACACACTTGCTGTGTTGTCCTTTTCTGTTTCAAAATACGATAAATCACTTCGAAATAAAATGGTTACTCTACTAGCTGGAAGAAATAACCTTTGTAACTTAAAACTAGCAAAGTTGGATATTTCCCTTGTGAGGTTTCAGTAAAAAAACAACTCAGACTTTTTTATAATAAAAATATTATTACCTAGTTGACTTATTATTGTAACTGACCGGATTTCCAAGACAATATAATCCAAATAATGGGTTATAATAGGTATACCGCCCAGGAACTACATTTATTCCAAGCTGCTCAAGCCTACACTTCACATCAATACCACGGCTTTGGCATAAAAGGTGAACAGCATGAATAACTGCGGAATATACACGGCCCATATCATCTCTTTGCGGTAGTGCAGACAGAAATGATCCGACTAAATGCAAACTGCGACGAAGAAAAAGCGGTAACCAAACATCTAATAAAATGGTTGCAACTCTTATAGCTACAGAGCAATATGTTAAAGCTGTGTGACTGGAAGGCGTGGGTTCTGGACCTGAAATATAAGCAGTGAGAAAGAAAAATCAATAAAATGTCAAAAACAATACACAAAAGGTTACTACTGACAATTTATCATAATTGAATAAAGTCCTATAGGCATTATCAGGCGTTTACAAGGCAAATTTGTCAGGAATGCCAGGCTATATTTAGTTTGACATGAGTGATACGAGGGAAGAGTTGTACCGCTGATAAGCCAAGTCAATAGCCTATCAAAGTGTTGGATTATGTAAAAGTTAACAATCACTTACATTTCTATGCATCTGACAGAGAGCCACATTTATTGTGTGAGAGCTAGAGTTAATACTTGTCTGCCCAACCCTTGGTACTTTCAGTAGGGTTTGGGCACGTGATTGGAAGTTCATAACCAAGATGAATGGGCCAAAGACGACAGATAAAACACTACTCATGAGAAAATTTCGAAGACAAAAGTATCCGTTGTCTATAAAATTAACTGAACACTATCAAACCAATGAATATGACTTAGGATTACACTAGATGCGAGTCAGCGGAGATCACGGCATCAATCCATGAAGTCTATGACTTTTTTCTGAGCTACGTATTGAGGTGTAGACTGCCTAGCTGGGATCTGCAAGGCGCTAAGAATCAATGGCTGGAGACAACTGGTGATATGGCTCAAAATCGTTCTCAATGGCTGGCGCAGATGCATCCACTCCTTGTGACTTATAATTTCCAATGAAACTATATTGTTCTTCGTTATTATTATTCCTTTTGTCTCATATCCCTGTCTACTGTCTCTATTTTGCATTTCTTCTACTTTCTTCTCTTGCTTTGTGTGCTACAAAGAGGGGGTGTGGCGACTTGAACTGCTGCACATCGGTGCAAAGTTAGATGTTAAAAACAACAAAAGACAGAGAAGGACAGTAGCAAGGATAGACAAGAGGATTTAATTGATCTGGAAGATTAAGAGGAGTGAATGCATCTGCACCAGCTATTGACTTAGCCACCTCTTAATTGATTTCAACCTCCTATGTCTCGTGATATTGCCTGACGAGAATTACATCGCACGCGTAACACGTGCCTTAATTGTCTTAAAAGATGTAGCTTCGCAAGCCCATTGACAGACTTACCTTCGTTATTCAGCACTCTACACCTAAACTTCAATATTACTCACCATATTATACTGTTTGATACGGAAGATAGAACACAAACATGTGGTAAAGAAAGCTAGCCTTCTAATGTCTTCCACTTTCAATGACTATGCTTCACAGCTATAAAGGAGCACAGAGAAAACTGCTGCGCGGAACACAACAGCCGTCAACACTATAGACGATGTAACTTGGCAAATGGCAATGCTAGGATTTCGCCAGTAACCAGTGCATTAAGGCTGGTGCAACTTCCTGAATAAGTGGAGTGGCTAACACGCTCTGCCACTTCACTTCCTATCTTCAAGCTAGGAGTCACTGTAGACCAGTACAGCAGTGTTGTCTTCCATTTGATAGGAGCGAATTGCATGCCAAACATTCGAAGATTTCCTTGTAAGGTATTCAAAAGACTGCAATTTGCCAGGTTCTTCACCTAGGAGTATAATATCGTCTGCATACTCTAAGTCAACAAGACTGCTTCCTGGTAACAAGTCAACCCCTAAGTTTCTAGTCATGTAGGGTCAATCCCACTAGTACATCCACGATGAAAATAAACAAAAATGGGGACAACTGGTATCCCAGACGGATACCAGTGTTTGCCATTACTTCAAATGACAACTCTTCATAGGCTGTTACACAGTTGCGTGAGTTTGAGTAGAACGTCTTGATTAGTGCGATATGCTTTCTAGACACCCTCTTTGCGGTTAAACATTGACACAGGCAGTGTAGCTCGTTGAGTCACTGCGATATGCAAGCCTGACCAGCACGTCAAAGTAGCAGCTAATGGTCGGAAACATCGGAATTATATATTTCATTTTCACTAAGATTTTCACAAATATAATTTTCACCTTGGGAATATTGTTTGAAGCTGTGTTTCCGAAATCATTTTAAGCGTTCCATTTGTAATGTGATGGAGGCAGATAGATGTAAAAGGGTTTTTAATGTTTACTTCCTTACAGTTTTGACGAAGTCGAACATTGTTCCCATGTTGTTAATCAAAGAAAAAAGATAACATATTTAAAGGTGTGAAACCAACGTTGTGGTAGTCTTTGGTAGTTTACCTGTAAAAATGTTCTCCTTGTCAATGTGTAGAGGCGAATCGACAAACCGATCCGGAGATAAACCATCCGTCTAAAACAGAATATTAATCGTTTTATTAGACAATTAGATTACTTAGGTGAACTATGCATAGAAATGAAAATCAAACTTCTTTAAACTACTGTAGACACAAATAAAACCACAGTTGATATGCTTTCGATAGATCACCCATGAAGTTCCTCACTGTGATGTACAAGAAAGTTTACGTCTGTTGGATGAGATCACTAAGATGTTAATAATAATTGAAAGATAAGTGCAGTGAAGTATGTGTATCTACTCAGTGCCATTTATATGATTTTGCAATCCTCACATGTTTATGTTCAACTTATGTATGATTACCATTTTGCTTATTCTATGCTTTTGTGAAACACTCAAACCAATACGCTTTTGTGCAAGACTTTACCTTGACTTGTCTATTTCTGATTGGTGGACTACTATCCTTTGCAAATAAAAATATCACATGGTACTCCCCTTACATGTTAACAATTTTCATGCTACATCACCCAGAGTGGAATATCTGGGTTCCCAGACTTCAAGTAGGATTAAAAGGTTTATATTACCACATACTCGAAGTAATTTTAAATGGTAACCAGCGAAAGGGAAGTGGGCATCCCCTTCGGATCCAAATCCAAGAACACAAATTGGCAGTAAAAAGACATGATATATATATTCTTTGTTTCAATGCATGTAGATAATTATGGACACCAATTTGATTGAGATAATGTATAAATTTTAAAGAGAGGAATTTCTAGAAGCCTGGTGCTCAAGTGAATTAGCAATTAACAAACACACTATTATAGACCAAATTTACCGGCTGATAAAGAGTAAATCATATGGAAAGAAAGTTCGAACTCCAAGTCAATGAAAATGATCAATTGAGATGTAAATTAACAACTAGTCACGATAGTGGTCAACAGGAGACACATTACACCATTCAAACAGAATTTAAATCAGTTCATTGCATACTAAAACCTACACTGAAGATGTTGTCCTGGAAGACAATGAAAGCTTCTCAATTAAATCAACCAACTCAGAGTACACAACTAATTCAATATCATCCACCTGAGCTACAAATCTTCTCCACTATTTCAAAATTTGTATTTACTAAACTACACATATGTTGAACAGGTAATATTTTCAATAAAACTATGTAATACTCAAATGCTTGTACTATCTTATTAAATAGTTCTGATTGGAACCACTATATACAGGAGAATACTCAGGTGACATTAGGAGTTCCTATCAATACAATTAAAATAAGAAATACAAGCAAACAATATTGTTTTCAATTAGAACTTCATAAACATTTTGATCTATACATGTTACAGTAAAGCCTGACGTAGAGTTAGTCGAAAACAGTATTGTTCGCTTATGTCATACGCTAATTCTAATAAGTTTCAAAAGTTATAACAACAGTGAGACATCCCAGTGGTTAGGAACTTCAAGATGGCCACTTAATCCTCCCAAATTGAAATTTCTTGGGTATGGTCATCGACATCAGTGAACATTATTTCCACTACTAATTAAGGATTAACTATTGTACGTGCCTACTAAGAAGCACTGTGCAATTCAAATAGTTCAAAATCGAATCAAGCCATGTAATAATTTGAGGTACTTGTTCACCATATAGGTGGAGATTGGAGACTGTGGATAAAACTGCTTCAGTTTAATTTTTCCTTTGTAATTTCACTATGAATGATTCACCACCAGAATGAATATAGTCACTTTCACTTATCAATATAATATACATGCAGTTCCTACCAAGAATTTTGTTGAAAACTATTGTTTAATAAGTCATCAACCTTAAGTTTAAAACATCAAACTAAATCAAGTCATGTCATTAAACAACAATGTCAAAGAGTAACAAAATAAATGATAATGCAACTAATGTACATTAAAGATCAGAAGCCAAGGAGGGACTATACCACTGTGTAGTAATGGTTTTTCTACTAAGTCTTTAACCCATAGAATCTGCTCCCAGAATTTCTGCCAGTCCTTCATGAACGGATTGGACAGGCATACATACTTAACAAATAAGCTTGAAACCTGTTTTTAACCAGAAATCAATCGACAAAATGACAAAGTGATTCTCAGATGTGGCAACAACAGTAGCAGTCTTAATTATAAATACAAACAAAAAACATAAATTAAGACATGCTTACAGATAGCTCAGTGACAAAATATACTCCAAGTAGTTCTGTAAAATACTTATCATGAATTTGATTGATCTCCTGATTGATAAAATCGAGGTCGACTACCAGTATTTTCTTCCTCTGTGCAACAGTGACAAAGTGCCTGACTAAACTGGCTTGCTGCTTCGATAGCTGTTGGGATGCAGTGTAACAACGTGTCATAGACTGCCGAATGCGATGTACTCGTCTCCGTTCTACATTAATATGAAGTAATTTTAGTGAAACTTACTTTCCATGTTTGATTCACTGAAATACTTGATAGTATGTTCAAGAGACGCAATGTGGGCATTTAACTCCTCGGTTCTTGTCTGCTACAATAAAATTTATTGCGAGTAAAACCTTACAAGAGTATGGGAGATAAGTTTAAACAATACGGGCTCGTGCGATTTAATTCTGATCCAAAAATTGATGAAATACCAATCTAGTAACTTACTTCCTATTCAAGTTATCTATTAATCTCCGAACTGTTACGATCCGGTCTGAATTTTGACGAAAGCTAGGAAGGTCATATTAAGGAAAATGAGCTTGCCTAACTTTTCCCGACTTTATGGAAAAAATTGAGTCATTCTTAACACATGAAGGGCAAACAAATGCCACTTTGAAGGATTCACACGTAGGACATTGTAGGTTTACATGGAACTGAGGGCCACGGTAAGACTGAGCATCTGTGTGTGGCGCTTCAAGTATTTGGAAATCTGCCAGAGTGACATCTGACTCTTCGAACATGTATTACATTGAAAACTACTGCTTTCAGAAATGTATTCAAAATTGGCGCAACAACATCCGATAACAAATAACCTTTTAGCGACCTAATATGCACTAAATTGATTTACCTGAGCTCACTCCCCGTCTGTGTCATTCGTCGCGTGGCTAGTGAATGCACTAAAAACATTCTGAGGGAAATGGTTGCATGAGAAGTTGGTTACATCTGAATCGTACTATCTGTGTTTATTCGGTTCATGCAGTCAGCCGTTATACGGTAAGCGATTTACCCTAGTGATGGCCTCAGTTAATCTTCCTCAGACATCCTCCAAGTCATTGGTATCTATCCTTGGGGACGATGATGCCACAAAAATGTAGGCGCCTAAATACGGTCGGATATCTGTTCGGCGCAACCGTGTTAAGTGCTCAGATGTAAAAAGCCAGTATCTCCTTTGCGAACAAACATTCTTTGTGTTGAAATCAGAAGAGGCATTGGAAGTTACGTATACAAGCGATACTTTGTACTCTGTTTTGGTATCAGGCATGTACGCTATGACCCATTGAGTGCATTTAGCTTCTTTTTGCTATGGAAGAGTTCTAGATTTGTGTGGAAAGCAGTACAGAGATCTACGTCCTCGCCAACCATAGCTATAGTGAATACAATTGGAATTCGTTCATCAGAATATTTTGCAGGGCTTACGGTTTGTCCCACATTCACCATGTGGATGCTAGTGTCTGCAGCTATCTAAGTAAGAATAAAATGGATGACAAAAGCACCACCCTTTATTCGTGCATTTATCTAATTACTTACAAATGGTGACGAATATATACAGTCACACTCGGGTGATATTTCTAAGTAAAGTTTCTTCTCATCTCTATAGCCACACTTGGAATAAACTGTTGCCAGATAATCTCTCAAAATTTCGGTTATTTGACAGGATGCCAGGTCTACTGCACACGGTTTATTTCCACATAACTCATGTACAAAAATAAGAATATATATTATTATTATCTCTCTCATCAACGGGCTTCGTAAGCTTCCGCTCCCTCAATATCTCCAGATGTTCCCCTCTAGGAAACTAGTTAGTTACGCTGATTGAACTATTTGAGCTCTTTTCCAATCGGCCTCAACTGGGGAAAACCCCCATGACTGTTGATTGAGCATTCATACAACTAGACCTGTTCCTTGGCCACACTACCAAATGACTCTTCAGACTGATCCATCTACCCTAATGGACAAGCCTCCCCAACCAGTGAAGGGAGAATGTAATACTTAAAGCCATTCAATGATGTATTTACTGATGACAGCATAGAGAGAATTAAGCGATACGCAATTATACGACAACGCAACAACCTTGCTACCTTTTTTAAAAATCCAGTCGTCCTCAATCTGATTCAGTCAGCACAGGTAGAGGAATTTACTGTTGAAGCCCACTGACTGAAAGTTAATTGAACTGATGGATTCCTCTGATCCCCTACAGTACAATATATGTGAAGCTGAACTCAGGTACAATGTTCTCATTGAGCACTAGAAGTGGAAGATTCCACATGTTGTCAACATCCTAACTGCGAGGATAGGAGTTCTGAGAATCACAAGTTGTTCCTCTCTAGACATGCCGAGCCGCAGCGACGGAACTGGATTTACCTAGTCGACCGATGTGACGTTGAAATCGCAGACTAAAAAGCCGCTACATGCCGTCCATGGGCCCAGTGTCTATATATGGAAATAATAATATATTCTCATTTTTGTACATGAGGGACGCCAGTTTACAGGCATCATCAATTCGATAAATTACACATACGATTAGTAAGTATAGTTAGTGATGATAATGTAATAAGGTACATATTTATTCCTACAAATGTAGGACACACAAGTTGTATAGGCATGGATAAGTATTATTTAAGTTAATATTTAAATTACATGATTTACGGTTAAATAACATGGTTGCTGTCATTTATCTTTAGTTTGTGGGAAAAATATGATGACTAGTGATTCAATGGAACACATCAAGAAATATAGAGATATTGACTTCGCACTAACAAAATAAACCCATGTATGCGTTGGATGGATTACAGATACATGGGAAAATAAATAAAGCTTGAAGCCAACTCACTCATATAACAATAAAATGCATCTTATAATAATATATTCTCACTTTGTGCACATGAGGGACTCCAGTTGACAGGCATCATCAATATGATAATAATGTACACATAGAGTAAGCATGTTTAAGATTTTTCACTAACACAAGATATATATACAAGAGAAGATAATGGAATATTGACCGTAAGTACACTCTGCATAAGTTAAAACAGTTTATATGGCATAATCCTAGGCACAATTATTGTTTGAATTTGTTGAACATGAGCGAAACAACTGAGTGTTGCGTTACATTTGGTCGATTTGGTGGGCTACTCACAAAAGTATAAAATGGCTTATAAAACGTTAGTCAGTTTACCGTAAACGATGTTTTAAGCAATATAATCTGCAAGAGGCTCACCACAGCAGTTAGTATCCAGTTAAACATGCAGAGAAGTAATAATAATTCAGCAACCGGTGAATTTTTGATTCTTTTCGGTCTGGAACCAGAGTAACTGCGAACCAATCCATAAAAAATGTCGAAAGAGGCATGCAGGAGCAGAATATTACCATCGAATGAGTCATTGGGATCTGAAATGCAGCTGTCAGCATATTTTCGTTATTTCATAGATATCCAGGTTTATTGGCTCTGTATAGCCTAGTGATTTGGATTTGTCATCATAATCGACATATTGATGAATATTCAAATATGTACTACAACTTGTTTGCCTTTCGGATTTAGTTAATTACATCTCATGTAGGGTTTGATTACTCTGCGATTTTGACATATTTCGCAGTGTCACCGTGATTATGGGAAGTATGTATGTGCTTTAAATGCATTACTTCGTTGACTCCTACCTCCACTGAGTGTATACAACGGGAACTGTGGATTTATGTATTTCCTCGCCACTGTGGATAAAATTTCGCCGCATTCTTTTTGGAAAGGAGACCAGTTGGTGGATTATAAATGATGTCCAAGTCACTTATATCCTTCCATGTGATGTTGTTGTAAGTCTCGACCTTGTTTTCGCATATTTCATTCGTATGTTGGTTATGGTTCACCCTTTGTATCAGGTAGACATAATTCGATCGACTCTTATTTGTGTAGGTGTTATTGTCATGACCTCTGCTTTTCTGTCTGAAATTATAGACTAAGGCAAAAGAAACAACAGGTGTAGTCTCTAAGTTCATACATTAAATGGGCCTATGATTTCTGAAGCTCTTACATGGGAATTAGCACTGGTATCACTTAGTGTGTCCTTAAGTGCCTTTTCAAAGGAGGCCAATGAGCTTGCTAGTCGCATTTCCTCAGGTAGTTTGTTTCATATTTGGGCATACCTAATCAAGCAAAACTTTTGCCCGGTGGCTGTTTTACATTGTTCTGTATCTATTGTACCTTTAGTGTGTCTACGGTTGTATCCAGTGTCTTCTGAAAACCGAGTACAATTAGTAGGGGTATACACTATGTGGTTAAGAAGCTCATAGAAGAGTACCAGATTTAGTCGCAGTCGTCTTAACCATAATGTTTCTAGTCCTAGGATTTCACATCTGGTAGAGTAGTTTGTGCCGTTTTCGGTTCCGAGTACTTTTAGCGTGAAGTACCTCTGTACTCCTTCTACTTTTAGTTTGTCTTCTATGCGTATACTACTAAATATGAATGAGCAGTAATCTAGGAGTAGGCGCACACAAACCTTGTACAGTAGTATTCTGGATTCACTTCTGTAGAATTTCCTGAGTAGGAAACCAATAAGCCTGCGTGATTTCGATACTTGTTTCGAGATATGCTCAGAAAATGTTAGGTTGTGTGAATATTTCAGTCCTAGGTCTAGCACAGATTTCAGTTTGGGGATTTTGTGGCCCTTAGCCTATGCAAAGCCAGCCACACTTTTCGACATTAAACTTGAGTCTCCAGGTGTCACACCATCTATCCACTTTTATTAATTCTTCATGTATGAAGTTCATAGTTGTACTGATATCTGTATTTTTGCAGGTATATGTCACCTTTAAGTCATCTGCATACAGTATTGGCCTGCCTATACTAAAGCATTCACATAAACTGTTTAAGTATATAATGAAAAGAAGGGGCCTCAATACACTCCCCTGGGTGACACCACTGCTGATTGGTCTAGGCCTGGAGGTCATCGAGCCAACTTTTGTTGTCTGATTTCTGTCACAGAGAAATGATTTTATCCAGTTGTGGAGGGGGTTGTGTATCCCTAGTGAGCATAGCCTGCTGACTAGCAGACTATGTGGGACTCTGTCGAAGGCTTTCCTTATATCGAAATAGAGGATAATTACTAGTTCTCTCCTATCTCTTCTCTAGGTGACTTCGTTGCAAAAGTCTATATGGCATGTGACGCAAGATCTTTTCTTAAGGAATCCGTGTTGTGACTGGTTGATGAGTTTATGTTTTAGAAAGTAGTCTGACATTTGGTCTTTGATTACTTCCTCCATGATCCGTGATATGACAGGTGTTATATTGATAGGCCTATCATTACATGCACTAGTTTTGGCCTCTCCTTTATGCTTGGGTAATATATACGTGTTTTTCCAAGTTTCAGGGTAGGTCCCAGTCACTAGCGAGAGGGTAAATATTCTAAGTGATAATGCTATTATATCCATACCACTTTTTGTATATGACAGATGGTATATCATCTATCCCACAACTACCGTTAGCTTTTAATGTCTTCACCATTGATGCTATATTTTGTATATTAAAGTTGATTTCACCTAACTTGTAGTTATTTTTGCAGGTTAAGTCGAGAATTGGGGACGGATGCGCTTTGGTGTCATTGGAGAACCACTCGCTGAGGAGTTCGCTAACTATCTGGGGATCATCATAAATCATACCTTCATGTTCGAAGTGGCTAACGTTGTTGTATTCACCCCTCTTCAGTCGTTTTTGCAAGAACTCGCAGAGTTCCTGAGTTTTAGAGGTGCCCCCTAGGGCTCTATTTTCCTCGAGTTGTGCCTTCATTTTATGTCTCTCCTCAAGATTTTTAAATGTTTCTTGTAT